AAATTCAAGCTCAATGTGGGCAACTTAGTGATTTATGGAGATCTTTTCTGAAAACTGAAATAAATAAGTATATAAATAAATAAATGACTAATAGCTGGAGATGTAGCTCCATGTGAAAGCCTGGGTTCAACCCCCAGTACCGCTAAAATAAATAAATAAATAAATACATACACAGGATATAAATTAGTAAGTAAATGATAATAAAATAAATTAGTAAGAGGTAGACAGACTGCTGGTCTACGCTCTTGGTGAGAGTATAAATTAGTAATCCATTATGGAAACCTTTATGGAGGTTCCTCAAAAAATGAAAATGTGGTACATAAATACAAGAGAGTACTATTCAGTCATGAAAAAGAACAAATAAAAAAATAGATTTGGAAATCATGTTGAACGAAATGAATCAGATTCAGAAAGACAAATATTACATGTTCTCACTAGTATGTGGAAGACAGAAAGGATGACATGAAAGCAGAAGGAAACTATTATTAGACAAGAGAAAAGGTGTAAGGGGGACAGAGGTCTAATAGTTGGTAAAAGGGAGGATGAATATGATCAAAAATATATTGAATGCAATGAAATCACCCCAAAAAATGTAAAATTAAGGGGAAGGTAAAAATGATCAAAGTATATTATATACATGTATAAATCTGTCAAAATGTTTGTTTTGTTTTGTTTTTGAGATAGGGTCTTGCTGTGTTGTTCAGGCTGACCTTGAACTCACTATGTAGCCCAGGCTGGCCTCCAACTTGCAGCAAACCTCCTGCCTCAGGCTTAGGAGTGTGCTAGGACTACAGGTGTGAGCCACCATGCCCAGCTTTTTAATTATTTGTTTGTTTATTAAATCTGCCATAAGAAAACCTATTAGGGCCGGGGATTCAGCTCAGTGGTTCTGCCACCTGCATTGCAAGCACAAGGACACAAATTCAATCCCCGGTACCAAAAAAAAAAAAGAAAACCTATTAATCTGTAGTCACTAATAAAAAAAAGATGTGGAAAAATGCTTTTTTTTTCCTTTTTATAATAACAGTAATACAAAAACATCTATTTACTAGAAAAGGTCTAAACTTAGGAGTCAGAATCCCATCCCCCACCCCTGTACTGGGGATCAAACTCAGGACCATGCACTTGCCAGGCAGGTGCAGTGCCACTGAGATAACCCCCCAGCAGGAGTCAGAATCTTAATTCCAGTCATAGTTCTGACACTTATTAACTCAGCGCAAATTATTTAACTCACTGAACATCAGTTTCTTGACCTAAAAAGTGACAATGAAACACTTAACTCAAGATGGCTGTAGGATTAAATTAAATCATGTGAAACACACTGAGTGTTGTACCATACACACAACCATAATGTTAACAAGTACTGTTTTCAATATTTCCGTTACTCACATTGGATGAAATCACTGGTGAACAAAAACAGATCTAACCCTTGCTTTGTGAGAGTCACTATCAGCTGAATTAGACATATTTGTATATTGATCTTCCTTGCTGACCTCAAAGACTCTGTAGCCACTATCTCTTAAACTACTAGTTACCACATTAGACAATATAACTGCTAGGGCTGGGGATTTAGCTCAGTGGTTCCACTGTCTGCCTCACAAGTGCAAGGTCCCGAGTTCAATCCCCAGTACCAAAACAAACAGACAATATAACTGCTGATTGATATATACCTTCCCCATTTACACTTACTGTCTTATAACTGTGTCCATCCAAGAAGAATTTGCTTCAGGAACTTTTAAACATGCCAAAGCTGAAGCTTTTATGATGAAGTCATTGACAGAAATTTTGCTTTTTCCTTCTAACATCTGTAAAGACAAGAAATCATGGTAGTCTGGGAGAGTGGGGCAGGAGGATCCCAAGATCAAGCCCAACCTGGGCAACCTAGAAACTTGGTGAGACCCTTTCTCAAAATAAAAATTTAAAAAGTTAAAAGGGGGTGAGGATAGGTCAATGGGAAGGCCTAGGTTCAATCTTCAGTTTACTGAAGAAAACAAACAAACCAACCAACCTACCTTTAACTATATACATAATCTTGACAACAGACTGAATCAAAATGTACAAATGACCTATGGTAGAAAAATGAAATGAAACCAAAACCTGGCACCTTGTTTGATATAGGCATTAAAAGCTACAAACGAGCTGCTAAGCACTGTTTTAGCAATATCCCACATATGGTTTATCTTCATTTTCTTTCAACTCCACCAATCTAAAACTTGGTTCTTTTAAAAGATCAACCAAATGACAACCACAAGGACAAATGTTTGCCCAAGAAAAAGAGAGAAGATTCAGGACTGGGGATTTAGCTCAATGTGTCACCGCCTGCCTTGCAAGTGCAAGGTCCTGAGTTCAATTCCCGGTACCAAAAAAAAAAAAGAGAAGATTCAAATTCCTAAAATCAGGAGTGAAGTAGGGGACATCACTGGCTACCTTATACAAATAAAAGAATTTTATGTCTAAAACATTGTGAACAACCATATGCCAACAAATTAGCTAACCAATATTAAATGAACAAATTCCCAGGAAGATACAAACTAAAATTGAACCAACAAAAAATAGAAACTTTGAATAAACTTAAAACTAGTAAAGATCAATTTTAAACTACCACAAAGACTAGACCTAAATGACTTCATTGGTTAACTCTTTCTTGTTAATTCGCACCAGCCTAGACTACACAGTGAGACTCTGCCTCAAACAACAACAAAAACTTATTCCCCCTATGATCAAGAAGATGAGGATGTTCACTCTTTTCACTTCTGTTCAACATCAAATTAGAGATAGCCAGGCATGGTGGCATACACCTGCAATCCCATCACTGGCAAGGCTGAGGCAAGAAGATTGCCACAAGTTCGAGACCAGCCTGGGCTACACGGTGAGTTCAAGACCAACCCGAATTACATAGTGAGATCCTGTCTTAAAAAACGAAAAGAAAAAAAAAGTTAAAACTGAAAATTATAAAACGTTTACAAGGAAATATAAGTGTATGTCTTCATAACCTTAGATTAGACAATGTATTTTAGATATAATGCAAAAACACAAAGGACAAAACAGATAAATTGGACATAATATTAAAATTTTTATGCTTCAAAAGATACCATCTACAAAGCAAAGACAACCTATAAAATGAAGAACAATTTTGCAAATCATTAATCTCTAATAAGGCATATGTACAGCCTATAAAGATATCTTATATATAATTACAAAGATAACACAATTTAAAAATAAAGGATCTGAATTGCGCCTCCCTTGCAACCACAAAGTCCTGAGTTTGATTCCTGGTACCAAAAATAAAAAGGATCTGAATAGACATCCCACAGAGAGGTAAGAATGCCAATACGCCCATGAAAGATATTCCATCTCATTACTAATCAGGGCAATGCAAATCAAAACCATAACGAGATAATACTTCAAATTCACCAGGATGGCTACAATCAAAAAAAGACAGATAATGCAAACACTGTTGAAAATATGATGAAATCAGAACTCTCACATACTGCTGATGTGGATGTAAAATGGTAAGCCCACATCAGAAAACAGTCAAAAAGTTAAAACACAGGGCTGGGAGTGTAGCTCAATGATAAAGTCATGCAAAAGACCCTGGATTTGTCCCAGTACCACAAAAGGAAGCAATAAAAAACAGATATAGAATTACCATATGATCCAGCTATTCCTAGGTATATACCCAAGAGAAATAAAAATGTATGCCCCAATAAAAGTTTGTATATAAAAATTTATAGCAGCATTATTCATGATGGGTAAGACATGGAAACAACACAAATGTCCATCAACTAAACAAAATGTGATATCCATATAATGGAATACTACTTAGCAACTTTAAAAAATTAAGTACTTGGGGCTGGGAATTTAGCTCAGTGGCACCGTGCCTGCCTCACAAGAGCCAGGTCCTGAGTTCAGTCCCTGGTACCAAAAAAAATTACTAATACATGCTGCAACACAGATGAACCTTGAAAACATGCCAAAGGAAAGAAGGCATTCAGAAAAAAACACAATTTGTATGATTTTTTTAATAGAATATATTTATAATAGGTGAATCTACAGAGAAAAATAGTAAGTGGTTTCTTAAGACTAGGGAAGATGGGAGAGTTGGATGGATTATGGCTAAGGAGTATAAGATCTCTTTTTGGAGGGTGATGAGAATGTTCTAAAATGTATTGTGATGAGAGTTATAACAAGTCTGTGAATATACTAAAAGCAACTGAATTGTACACTTTACATAAGTGAATACTATGGTATTATTACAATGGTTTGAATTATATATCAATAAGTTATTCAAAATAATTGAATATATTGAACATATCTGCCAAAGTTCCAACTAAATTTATGAGAAAAAAGTTTGAATATTTTGACAATAAAAGTCTGCCATTATCTTTAATCTCTATAGTTTATTTACAAAGATCTGTTGCTACTTCCTTCATGCATTCAGTCATATATTGCACATTTTGAGAGCCTGCTGTATTCTGGGTGCAGAAAGCTAAAGCTAGGTATGAAAGAGTGAACAAAAAGGGCGAAAATTCTGTTCTCATGGCACTTATACTCTCAAAGGGAAAAGGAATAAGTAAAACATATAGGCAATGTTAAGTGCTAAGGAGAAAAATAGAGAAGGAGAACTAAGGGTAGAAAGAAAGTACAATTTTAGAATAATGGAGACCAGAGAAGGTGATAGTCAAACCCTTAAAGAGGTAAAAAAAGAAAGCCATGTGGATACCAGAGGCTCCATGCAGGGAGAACATCAAGTACAAAGGACCTAGGTAGGAGTGTCAAGGAACAGCAGGACAACCACTGTGTCTGCAGTGGACAGAGCATGTGGGAAAACACAGAAGAGGTCAGAGAGACTATAAATACCCTGCAAAAGACAGCATGTGCCACACTACGAAGTTCGGCTTTCATTTTTCACTTCCCTGAAATTATCTTTCATATCCCTCTCACCTACTCCTTTTTTTGTTTTTTGTTTTTTGAGTCAGGGTCTTGCTGTGTAGGCCAGGCTAGCCTTGAACTCACTATGTACCCAGACTGGGCTCAAACTCACGGTAATCCTCCTGCCTCAGCCTCCTGAGTTCTGTGATTACAGGCATGCACCACCATGCCCAGCTAGTCCTTCTTAAAATACTGCTATTATCATGTCACATTACTGATCAAAAACATAAGGGTTTCTTAGTGTTCAACTCATCAAATCCAAATTCCAAATCCCTTATAAATTAAGATCTTCCTTAAGGTGACTTTCTGTGTATCTGCTCTAGGAAGAGGTGCTCTTTCTCTCTGAAATAAGCTACATTTATTTTCCTTTTTTTTCAGTGATGCTGGGGACTGAACCCAGAAGCCTACACATGCTAGGCAAGCACTATAAGCTACATCCCTGCCTCTTTTTATTTTTATTTTGGGACAAAGTCTCACTAAATTTCCCAAACTGGGCTTGAACTCACAATCCTCTTTCTCACCTGCCAAGCAATTGGGATTCAGTTATGTGCACCCAGCTTATTTTCATTTCTTCAACTTCTCTGCCAATCCAAACACTTTTATTTTTCATGATCCAACCAAGTTTGTACTGTACCATTATGAATTTCCCAGTACTCTCACTGGTCTCCCCCTTCTCTGACCTCCTGCAACACTTAACTGATCCAAATGAATATTTTTACTTTAATAAAAATTACATTCCCTCTTTTTCACATGAATTATCTCCCCAACTAGATTATAAAATCATAGTGAAGAAAGACAGTGTCTATGCACTCTGTGTTCCCGATAGTGCCTTATGCCAAACACTAAGTAGGAATGTGGTGCTCTACTCTAAATAAAGAGTAAATATAGTGTTTCTTACTCACCAAGAGACTCAAGTATCTCCTCACACAGACTTTGCTAGACTAAAATCTATCTGTGGCAAAGTCACCTTTAAGCGATTTTAATCACAGATTTGGAAGATGAAAATTCTCTAGGATATTCTCTGCAAGCTAAAACTAAGATGACAGCCTGGTATGGTGGCACAGGCCTGAAATCCCAGACTCGGGAGGTTGAGGCAGGAGGAGTGCTTCAAGTTCGAGGCCAGCCTGAATTACACAGCAAGAACCTGTCTCAAAAAAATGACATTCATTTTCTATCACTAACTGGCATACTATAAGAAAATATAAATGTTGAACTTGGCATGGTAGCACATGCCTGTAATCCCAGCACTCTGGGAGGCTAAGGCAGGAAGATCAGAAGTCCAAGGCCAGCCTGGGCTGTTTAGTGTCTTAATGGGACCTTGTCTCAAAAATTTTTAAAAGACTGGGTATAGCTCAGTGTAAAGGCCCTACATTCAATCACTAGCACTAAACTAAAAGCAAATATCTAGTGAGGAAAGACAGAATTTTCATAAGTTACAGAGTTGGAATTTTCATAAGCATTACCTTATTAAGTTCTTTCCGTACCAACAAAACTTCTCCCATATTTACATCAATAGAAAGGTAATAATGAGGTATAGTTTGCTTTGACTGTATTAACCGCTGTGCAATAACCTAAAAGCAAAGAGATTGAAAAGTCAATTATCTTAAATTGACAGAATACCTTAAGTAATTCAGGTCTCCATTTTCCTCTTCACTCTGCTCCCTAGTAAGACTCATCTCAAGCATTATCAGAATTGGAGGAAGAAGAATTGCACCATCACTTTACATCTTCTAATAGATTTAATCAAAACAGTGTTTGCATCCTAAGTATTCACCTTACCAAACCAAACTTCCCTTAAACTAGTCATCTAATATTCCCAACTGAAAAGGTTTCTGCTAGTGTTTTAAACTATGAATACAATTAAACAGCCAGAGTAAAGATACCTCAAAAGCTTTGGTTCTAGATTATGGTAATGCACTTACTCGGCGAATGTTGCTGATCGGGATATCTGTGAAGATACCTGTAGGAACAGGTGCCACCCCAGGACTTGGGGGAGGCACAGCAGCTGCTGGGGCCTATGGGGGAAAGAAAAAGCTCTTAGTAACTACAGTTCAATCTTAACATATATAGCTATGAAGGACTACAAGTGACCCTTTATAGATAGCAAAGTGGAAAATGAACATTTTTAGAAGAATGACTAGTTCTAGCCCCATAGAGTAAAAAGGACTGGATGAGACAACTTATTTAAGAGTTTTGTTTTTAAATTTTTTACTTGGAATACTGAAATCATGTTTTTTGGGCTTTTGTTTTGATGTCTTGTTTTTGGTACCAGGGATCAAACTTGGGACCTTGCACTTGCAAGGCAGGCACTGGAACCACTGAGCTAAATTCCCAGCCCTTGATGTCTTTTTCGTTTGTTTGTTTTCTGAGACGGAGTCTTGCTGTGTAGTTCAGATCAGCCCTGAACTCACTATGTAGCCCAGGGTCCCCTTGAACTCATGGCAATTCTCCTGCCTCAGCCTCCCGAGTGCTGGGATTAAAGGGATATGCCTCCATGCCCGGCTGAAGTCATGTTTTGAGTGTCATCTTTCTTTGAGCCAGAATATATGCCATGACCAGTTTATATAAAAAAAATTTCTTGGACTGCTCAGTGGCACAGTGCCTGCCTGGCAAGTGTGAGGTCCTAAATTCAATCCCTGGTACCAAAAAAGAAAAAAAATTTCTTTTTGGAAAATTATCTTTATGAAAAGCAATCAAATCGTTCTTAAATTGAAAGAACTGATATTAAATATAAACAAACTAATCCACTATCCTTGATGACATTAACAAGGAAAAATCTTTCATTTCAAACATCTGGGTAACTGAATCATTTTCTTTACTTTTACTGATTATCTTAGCACCTTAACCAAATAAAACTTGAACATATGAATTTAGTCTCTGGGTGGACTAATTAACTACATAAACCCTAGACAACCAACTTGCAAGCATGCTTTTAAAAATGGGCTGAATGATAAGGAGAGGGTGTTTCAGGAAAAACTATCACTACTCAAAACACAATTTGGCATACATGTCACTATGGTATATCACCTCTGACTTTGTATATACTGTATATGATAGCACACAAGTATCTAAGTATTGTCAAGCCACTGAAATTAGAAAAAAACTTCTGGTTGAACACTTCACTCATAAATAATGTATGAAATGGTCTTACATGGAGTACAATGTAGTTTGCAGAGATAACTGCAAAAAAATAAGAGCCAAATAGAACTCACAGGAGCAGCTTTAGCAGGCACAAAAGAGTCAATGTCCTTTTTGATGATTCTGCCATCTGGTCCTGTCCCTGGAAGAAATATACAAGTACCACATATATGACAACAGGCCTCTGGAGGTCAACACTGTGATCCTCAAGTGAAAGTTCCTAAAGGTTTGTTACCAAAAGCATTCTGAAGGATCACAGCTTTAGCATTGCCCCTAAGATGTTCTCTCAGAACGCCAGCTCTTGTTAATTATTCATTTTAATTCAGACTATCCTTGCTTATTCAATAGTGGCTCTATTGTAAATACTATTTTATCTATTTCTCTTTCAGAGTTTTGTTTAATTAGATTACATTTGGTTTTTTAAAAAATTTCTTTTAAATTGGGAAATACTGACATAGGATACATCTAAAGGAAAACTAGCTGTCCCTTTCTGGTTAGCTTAAAAAAAATTCACCTTTTCTGAACCATGAAATAGAGACTCTCTTGGCCATAAAAAATTCCTTTCTATATGGTTAACAGATATGATAATTTCTCTGTACAAACTGGGCAAGACAATTATTTCACCCCAAAATAGCATAAAGTTAATTACAATTATCTTATTTTTAGAATCTTTCATTCCCCATGTTTTTGTTTATGTTTTTCTGTACTGGGGATTGCACTCAGGGCTTCACACTGAGCTATATCCCCAGCCCTTTTCTGAGACAGAGTCTCACTGAATAGGACAGGCTGGGCTCGAACTTGGGATCTTCCTGCCTGAGTCTCCCACAGTGCTGGGATTACAGGCAGGTGCCACCATCCCTGGTTTATTTGCTATGTAGTCTCCATCATTCACAGCTTTCTCACAATAGTCAGGACTAAGCAGGCCTATGGTTAGAGACAATGAAGGAAGCAGATACAATGCCACATATGAGAAAGGACCTTCAAAGTTTTCTCAAAAGGTTTAATTTTATTTTTCTTCAATTTCCCTCTCTCCTCCCATCTATAACTTCTTAGGATTAATTTCAGACCCTAGGAAGTAATCCTGACCTTGAATTCTAAGCAGTTTCAGAATTTAGTTATTATACCTTTTACAATGGCCCACTTCTAGAAAAAATTCGATCAAACTGGTTCATCTGCCCCCACAGCAGACTTTTAAAAGATTTCTCGTGTGCAATTCTCCCCAATCCTTTTCCTTCATTAGGAACACTAAGTTGTCTAGGACCGTTCATCCTCACCAGGAGCTCTACAACAGAGGTGGCAGGGCCCCCATTAGATTTCTCTCCTTCATAAAAGACCAAAACCATAAACTCCCCTTATAACCAAGGCTGAGCCAGACACCACTTCATGCAGCCCTTTAAGTGGAGGAAACCTATAGCAACACCCGCCTTATTCAGCCATTTATGAGAATTTTCAGACCAAAAGGAGTCAGCTAAAACCTAATTTTAATCTATCTCCTTAAGAAGGCACAACAGGAAATCATAAAGCAATGTGGCATAAAGGGAAGAACACTGAACTAGCAATACAATATGTTGGGCTCTTGCCACACACAAACAAGAGACAGATAACACAAACAAGACAGATTAACTACAATCACTTAGTCTGATGTGGTCTTCCTTCTCATAGGCAGGATGCTTATAATACCGGCCCCTACTCACAAGAATGTTATAGAAACAAAGTGGGATACTGACACAAACAATGCTTTGCACCAGACAAATAGGAAATATATGGGTAGCCTATAAGGGGTTAGGCCTTAACATAGTATATCCCTAAGTCATATTCTGGTCAAATATGCTAAGTAATCTGTCCCTCTATTGAACTTTTCCCTTCCTGGAATTATTTTTTCTCCCTTTCTTATCTCAAGTTGTCCAGAGTTGCCCAGGGTTGAAATGTGGGCTAAATGTCACCTCTTCTTTCTCTATTCCACCTCCAAATCTTCCTCCTCCTCTCATAAACCTCAATTCCCTTTGCAGTTCACGCTATCTGGCTAATTCTCATTCACCAACTCATAATGACTCCCATTCATTCAATGAATATGCATCCTGACCTTTGTCTTTTTGAAAACCACAATCTACTCAATACCCAGACTTCTAAATTTTTTCACCTACTCAGCTCCAACTTTTCCCTCCTACCCACAGGAGCCCAACTTCTCAGGTCAAACTTGTACTTAAACATTTCTGAAACCTGAAATTCCTCTGATTGCCATCCTGTGGTATAACAAAAAATATATTTGGTCCTAGCCAATTATGGTGGCATAAACCTGTAATCTTAGCTACTTAGAAGTCTGAGGCAGGAGGATCACCAAGTTCAAGGCCAGCCTGAGCAATTTAGTGAGACCTTGACTTCAAAAAACTAAAAAAATAAAAAGCTGGAGATGTAGCTCACCACCTGCTAGACTCAAAACCCAGCTACCACAAAGGGGAAAAATTGGTCTGTTTCAGGTTCCTGGAACAAACTCCAAAAACCTTTGGGACTACCTGAATGATAAGTATTGTTCACAAGTCCCTTCACACCATAGCAGAGTTTATGCTAATAGGTCACTCAGAGTAGAGCTCACAGATAGCTATCAAGATAGGGAATGGTTAGCAGAAAGACCACATACATGATTAAAGGATGACAACTTTCAGTCCCTGTCCCTCCTCTCTCTCCCATCTCCTTCCTTGTCTCTGTTCCACTCACTGGAAGGGGAAGAGAACTGGAAATTCAGTACAATGACTAATGACAAATGGTTTAGTCAATTATGTTTTTGTAATGATGTATCTAGGAAAATAAAAATTCTTAAACAGTGAGATTAGGAGAGCTTCCAGGTTGGTGAACACATCAATGTACTGAAGAGGTTAGTATGCCCAGAGATGGCATGGAAGCCCTGTGTGCCTCTCCCTATCACATCTTCCCCTATACATCTCTTCCTTTTGGCTGATTCTGAATTTTATCCTTTATAAACCAATAATAGTAGAAAGTCCTTTCCCAGGTCCTGCGAGTCATTCTAGCAACTTATTAAACGAGAGGACAGGGTCTTAGGAGCCCCTGAGTAACAGCTAATGAGTTAGACATACAAGGGGCCCCCATGCCTTGCAACTGGAAGATAGTCAATATCAAAATTGGATCAAATAGCTGGGCACCCAGTTGGTGTTAGAGAATTGATGGTTATAGGGAAAAAATTCAAATATTTGGTGTCAGAAAACACCACACAATCACTGATGCTCGAGCTCACTTAGCCTAGACTGCTCCCCTCTCCCACTCCAAAATCTCTTTGACCTCATCAGGACTCCACTGACTCTTGTACTCTCATTATCCATGTCCTTCCCCTCACCTTCACTTCCCTCCTAACCCAGCTTACACTCTGTATGGGTTACTGCTATAATCACTCTCTTGCAAAACACTAAAACTATTATTGTCATCTCAGTGCCAGCACCAGAGTAGTTTAATGTTGCTAGGGAAAAAAAGTATGGAGCTGGCTGACTGTACTATAAGTTTAGAACCACAAACCTAAAATGAACACAAAAAATTGTACAAAAATTCAATTGTTTTCTCTAAATTCACCTTCAGAAACTCTGAGAAGACTGCTCTATGATCTCTCCAACCTCAACATTCCTCAGACCCACTCTCCAGCTGATACCTTCATTTCATACTTTACTGATCAAACAGTTACAACCAGAGGAGTCCTCTTTATATTCTACCACCAATCTGATAAACCCCTCATCCTACATTCTCTTCTCTCCTATAAAGAGATAAAATGTCCTCAACTCTTTTAAAGGCCAATTCTATTTTTTCTTGTATTTTTTTTTTGTTTTTTGGTACCAGGGATCAAACTCAGGTCCTTAAGCTTTCGAGGCAGGCAGCAGAACCGCTGAGCTAAATCTCCAGCTCTTTCTTGTATTCTTAAGAACTTTGTCCCTTGCCAAATCACCCTGCTACATAATCCCTTTCTGTGTCTTCCACTGATCATTTTCTATTCAACCACAGATTCTCATTTTTGCATGGCAATGGACAACTGGAAATGGCTGAAGACATTTTTGGCTGACATGAGGAGTGTTTGCTACTACCCTATGGGGCCAAGAATTTCAATTAACACTTTACTATGTACAGAACACATCTCTCACGACAAGGAATTTCTGGCCAAAATGTCAACAGTGCCAGCTGAGAAATCTACTACCACTCATCTTCTAAGCCACCTTGAGTCCACATCCCATTAAAGCTACACCTTTACTTCTACACCTTTCTTCAGAGCAAATATTCTTCAATGCCATCTCCACTTCTTCACCGACTTTCCACCTATCCAGACTGGGTTTCATCCCACCTTTTGAAATTACTGCTGTCAAGTCCCTATATTTAATCCTTGACTAAAGTCTGTTAACTTTAGGTTAAAAAAATGTATCTTAATGTATCCATTTCCTTTTATATATTTCTATTTTCATCACCCTTGGCTGAACTAGCAACATCAGTTCCAGTCACAGCATCTTAACAGGTGTCTTGGTTTTCATTTAATTTATTTCCTTGAAGAAAATAAAATGAGCGTTTAAAAATATACATCATCAAGCTGGGTGCAGTGGTACACACCTGTAATCCCAGCACTCTGGAAGGCTGACGCAGGAAGATCACAAGTTCAATCAGCCTGGACAACTTAGTGAGACCCTGTCTCAAAATAAAAAATAAAAAAAGTCTGGGGACGTAGCTCAATACAAAGGCCCTGGTATAATCCTCAGTAACACCAAACAAACAAAAAAACCAAGAAAAACAAAAATAACAACCAAAAACCCAAACAAACAAAAACCACTTTCTTGCCTAAGTCTTTCAATGGTTTCCTGATTCCCTATTACACTGTAAATCATGGCTGGCTCATTGAGCTGACTTCTTATCTTTCAGATCAGATCACACGTCACCTCATCAGAAGTCTTCCCCAGCTAAAAGCAGTCATGACTTAAAAAAAAATGATAAAAAATGCAGTCATGACTGCACACATATCTATCCTGTCACTCACTTGTTTATCACAATGATTATTTCTTTCTTTGCACTTAATTATCTTATTTAATAATAAAAAAGTGTTACCATGATGGCTAATACCTAGATTTCTTTCTCTGCATGGGTACTATTTAATTACTTTATTTAATCTTCACCATTTATTAGGTATTTTTATACACAAATGACAAAACTGAGATGCAAAAGGTCAGTTAGTATAAAACAGAGCTGACATTTAAACCTAAGCATTCTAGCTCCAGAGCACACTACTATGCTATATTTCATTTTGTTCCTTTTTTTTTTTTAATGGCAGAACCAAGGATTGAACCCAGAAACCCAGGGCTTTCATATTGAACCATATTCCCAGCTCCCTTTTTTTTGGAGACAGGGTCTCACTACATTGTTAAATTGCCCAGGCTAGGCTTGAATTTATGAACCTCCTGCCTCAGCCTCCCAAAGTGCAGGGATTAGAGGCATACACTACAATGCCCTATGTTCACTTAATTCATTGTTACATAATTCACTTAATTATTGTCACATAAGCAACTAAAATTGAAATCTCATCCAACTTTTATAACTATTGTCTGTGCATCAAAAATATTTGTTTAAATAACAAATAATCACCTAACTCTGCCTCCATGGTAAGAACAGTGAGATTTTCCATTTACCTCTTTACCAAAGTAGTCAGTATTGCAGACTATCCAATAAATGGTCCTTCATATCTAAATTCAACAGATATAAACTAAATTTCAACTTCGCAACCCCATTCCATGGAAAGAGACTTACCTTTTACTTGTGTAAGGTCTATCCCTTTCTCTGCAGCCAACTTCTTTGCAAGAGGGCTAACAAACACCCTTCCCTTAGGTCCACCAGGAGTAGCCAGTGCAACAGGAGTGCCTGAGGGTGTAGGAGTTATAGGTTGGGGAATTGGAGGAACAGTTGCCACCTTTTGAAAAAAGTTACAAATTATTAATTCATAACTGCAGAACTGTCTGAAAGATTAAGAGTTTAGATTTTATGAAGTTCAAAGCTATTTTAATTAAATAATGTTCATATTCTTATACAAAGAGCATAATACACTTTTTCCCTCTTTAACCAACATCATATAGCTATATGAATAGGAAGAATACTTTAGGTCAAAGACAAAACAAAGTCATCTTACTCCATGACAACAAGGAGAGGTGGGGAATTTAATACTGCAGACTCATATACAAGATCTTTGTAGGGCAGGGGATTTAGGTCAGTGGTTCCGCCGCCTGCCTCGCAAGCACACGGTCTCGAGTTTGATCCCCGGTACCAAAAAAAAAAAAAGATTCTTATAGCTTTTCTTCACTTTAATCTCTTACCACTTTCTTAGTAAGTTCATCGCCAACATGGTTTTTGTGTTTACTTAACCTAATTTCAAAATACAAAATTATGCAATATGGTGCCATGTTAAAAGTATCTTAAATATACCAGTACTGCCACTTGTCAGTTCTCCATGAGTGTAGGGCAGTCAGAAATCAAGTCGTCTCTGACAGAAATGTCTAAATTCATGATTCCATTATCTGCAGAAGCTTCATTACAAATGTTATCTATGCTTAAAGTTAATACATGTTCACGTTACAGGTGTATAGTGTACAGTACAAAGTATACTAAATTCTGTGGAAAACAAGTCATGTCATGTCAAGGTTTCAATGTACTACAAAAATATGCTTAGCATACTATAATATATAAATACTGTATACTATATATAAAGACTAAACATGACAAGAGTTTATATAGTGAAGTTGACAAAATGGGGAACAAAGCCCTACCTTCCATGAGCATATTTACACCCAAAACAGAAAGAGAACATGGTACTTCAGCTTTGTTCTCAGCAGGACTCAAGACAGCAGAGGGAAAATAGCTACAAGGATCAAACTACTGGCCATTAGATGGATGGCACAATGCAAAACAACACACTCCACATGTTTCCCCAAATGTGAATGCACTATCTTCTTCCTTATTCATCAGATCTTGGAGCTAAAAGGAGCCTAAGATATCACCTAATCAAATCCTTTTAATTCAGAAATGAACAGGATAAATGTTCTCTTGATCCTAGAAGCATACCTACCTGGGGTGGGGTAGGTGGTGGTGCTTGTGGTTTTAAATCAGTTACTTCAGTTGGCCTATAATCAGCAAATGCTGCTATATCAGCCTCTTTTTCTACAATGATGCAAAGAGGGGTCCCTAGAGGGACATCTCTTGTGCCTTCAGGAACCAGGATTTTGGCCAGATAACCTTCTTCCTGTACTTCAAAACCTTAAACAGAAAGAAAAAACATTACGGAATTTAAAAGACTCCACTATCCATAGTTTTAAGCATAGTTTTAAGAAAAAGGCCTTCATCAAACTGATTATACAGGGCCGGGAATTTAGCTCAGTGGTTCCACCACCTGCCTCGCAAGCGCAAGGACCCAAGTTCGATCCCCAGTACCAAAAAAACCCAAAACTGATTATACAGCCTTCCTGCAAGCTGTTTAACCTCTCTGGGGCTGGTTGTGGTGGTGCACACCTATAATGCCAGCACCCCTGGAGGCTGAGGAAGGGGGATCACAAGATCAAGCCCAGCAACTTAGTGAAATTTTGTCTCAAAATAAAAAATAAAAAAGCACCAGGGATGTATGGAACACAGTGCTAATAAGGACCCTGGGGTAAATAAATAAATAAATAAGGTCCTGGGTTCAATTCTCAGTACCAGAAGATAGAACAGGCATAATTATAGCACAGTCAGCCCTCCCTATCCACAGGTTCCACATCCTTGGATTCAAACAACTGTCGGGCTAGGGATTTAGCTCAGTGGTTCTGCAGCCTGGCTCAAAAGTGCAAGGTCCCGAGTTCGATCCCCAGTACCAAAAAAAAAAAAGGAAACAAACAACTGTAGTGCAAAGATTCTGCATTGTTGCTGAGATGTATTATATAATTAGGTCTATGATAACTGCATCTATCCTGAACATCTATAGACTTTTTCTCTATCATTCCCTAAATAATACAGTATAACAACCATTTATATAACATTGATGCTGTATTAGGTATTACAAGTAACCTAGAAATGATTTAAAGTATACGGTAGGGGTTCGGGGTGTAGATCAGACAAAGAAATCTTATTCAGCTCACAGAGGGGCCTGAGTTTAATTTCCGGCACCAAAAAAACCAAAAGCCAACAAACAAAAACATGCAGGAAGGTGTACAAAGATTATATTCACATATTGTGCCACTTCATAGAAAGTACTTGAATATCTACAGATTGCCAGGCATGGTTGTGCACACCTGTAATCCCAGCATATGAGAGGCTGAGGCAGGAGGATTGCTGAGAGTTTAAGGCCAGACTGGGCTACACAGTGAGTTCAAGGCCAGCCTGAACGATGTAGTGAGACCTTGTCTCAACAAAACAAAACAAAAAAAACCAAAAAAAACTAAAAGACGCTATCAGAAGTCAGGCAAGGTGGCACACACTAATCTCAGCACTCTCACTCTGAGAGGTTGAGAGGTTGAGGCAGGAGGATCCCAAGTTTGAGTCCAGCCTGGGCAACTCAGTGACTTGGGGAGATCTTGTCTCAAAATAAATAAAAAAGGTCTGGAGATGGAGCTCAGTGCTAAGGACAAGTTTTGCCTTCTAGGGTTTCCTTTAGTGGCAAATTATGGAGCAGAGGCAAGAAATTCATAATATCTATAAATATCATCACAAATACTTGATTGCCCATGTAAGGTTTGCTTCTAAGCTTAAAAATGAATTATAAACAGGGTAAATGAGTGGGCATGATAGCGCATGCCTGTAATCCCAGTACTCGGGAGGCTGAGGCAGGAGGATTGCTGCAAGTTTGAGGCCAGCCTGGGGTACATAGTGAGGTCAAGGCCAGCATGAATTGCAGAACAAGATCCTGTCTCAAAATAAATAAATAAATAAACAAAAAAGGGTAAATGAAAATGCGACATATCCTAACAGACATACTGTATGTCATTCTCAAAATATGAAAACAATCTAAACTTTAGTTTTAGTTTTCTTTCAAAGTCATCTTAAATTCCTTGGTATTTTCCTGCCTTGGAGGTGATTTTCTCCTCTTTCTTTCTTCTTTCCTTTGCCCAGTTCACAAGACAGCGGTTCTGGTATAGCTTTTCAGTAACATGAAAATAAAGCTATAATGCAAACTCTGGCCTAAGAATAATCTCTAAGTTGACATATCCTTGATTCAATAAGTACAGTATGGAACTGACAAACCCAATTATGCACATTTTTTGTCATACAATATCTTCCTCTGGGAAATTAATCCTAAGAATTGTAAAACTGTCATATTATCACTCATTGATTGGAGAGAATGGCAATCTTCTTCCTCACTGGAAAACTCAGTGCCTCAACCATTAAGAGCTGAAGAAATCTCACCTATAGTGGCCTTGTCAGTCTCTATCTCTGCCAATAAATCTCCTTCACTTAGCTTCTCTCCTACTTTTTTTTCCCATCTCTGAACTGTGCCCATGGTCATGGTAGGAGAGAGGGCAGGAAGAAGCACCTACAGAAACAAATATATATTACTGCATAGAAACTGGAAGAACTGGACACAAAAGTACTCAGGTAAGCTTACAGTTTCATAGAGTGACAGTGACTATGACAAGTGAAATGCCCATCACAGCAAAAGTGAAGTACCTCAATAGCTTCCCATCAATTAAATCCTTCAGATCTTAAGCTTTATATTTAAACTGTAACATATTCTGATATTCTTTCCAAAGTCAAAAACAACAGGCAGATGGGAAAGACTTCAGTTAGGAAAAAAAAAAAAAAAAAGACTTCAGTCAGAATTAATTCCTCAATATATACCTAAGCACAGAACATCTTTTCACCTTTTTCTAACACTTGGGTTAAGATCTAAATTTGTCATTTTCACAGAATGATCTTGGTCCAGATCACTCTTAAAATTTTGCTGTGCTCTATATTTAGCATCTATTTATCTTTTCATCCACAGGAAACCACATTTATTCCAAAACTTCCTAAATATAAACTAGAATTAAGAACTATCTTTGGTGCAGTTAGTAACAATATACTGTATTCCTGAAAACTGCAAAGAGAATAGGTTAAGTGTTCTCACTACAAAAGTAAGGAAATGGTATGTTAATTCAATTTACCCATTCCACAATGTATACATACTTCAAAACAACACTGTAATGATGAGTTTATAGAATTTTTATGTACTCAAATTAATTAAGGATTAAAATGCAAAAAATAACTTTTTTGGTGCTAGAAATTGAACCCAGGGTTTCATGCACATGAAGCAGTACTCTACCAATGAGCTACACTCTCAGGCCCCCCAAAATTGTTCTTATAACAGTCATTTCTGCTGGGGATTTAGCTCAGTGGTTTCACTGCCTGCTGCGCAAGTGCAAGGACCCAAGTTCGATCCCTGGTACCAAAAAAAACAAAACAAAACAAGAAAGACTCTGTCTCAGGAAGAAAAAAAAAAATGGAAATAGTCATTTCTACTTCAACAAAATGGAAAGATCAGATTGGCTGATACAAATTTTAAATTGCTTTCCTATTTATACAGTTTATGTGTCCACTGAATTTGGATGGTTTTTCACTTACAGACTTCATCTGCTGCCTACATAGTCTTTTATATCTAATTAGCAATAGCTTTATCCTGAAGGAAAAATAATTTTAATCAAAAATATCTCCAGAAGGGGGAAAAAAAGCAAAATAAGACAGAAAGTTCTTTTAAAATGCTTTTCTCAGCTGGGCATGGAAGTGCACACCTGTAATCCCAGCACTCTGGGACACGGAAGCAGGGGGATCACAAGTTTAAGCCCAACCTGGGCAACTTTGTGACTTAGCAAGATCCCATCTCAAAATAAAAATAAACAAGGGGTTGGGGATGTAGCTCAGTGCAAAGGTCCTGAATTCAATCCTAGTACTGAAGAAAAAAAGTTTTCCTTGTTCAGAATTTGCAATCTTCATCTGCTTAAGAGTTAGTGGGGCTAGTGATCTCTATACAATATCCTGAAGGATACTTAAGGCACAACCCTAACATCTGCACACAAAGCCGTAAGAGGTTCTTACTTAATATGACATAATTTGCTGAACAAGATGAAATAACTGTGTGACTTGAACACCAAGGAGAATTTCATTGTAACTGATTACTAACATAAATGTTACTAACAGACTGTGAGAGAAACATTACTGCCAAAGAAAATGATTGTACAAAAATTTTCCTACAATGCCAAGTTATGGAAAGTTCAGGTCTTAACCCTTTAGAAAAAGTTTGACTAGGTTTTTATCTACTTCCAACATCAAAAACACATAAACACATATAACTCTAATATCTAACAAACTTTTATTTTCTAGAAACTAACCTAATAGAATCAACAAAGATTACATTTCAGTCTTCAGCTTTGTTACAATGTTATTTTATATGTCTAGTCCAGACTTACTCTTTATTGTCAGTTTTCTCATTTATAAATACTACTCTTAGAGTATTTTACCCACTTTTGGTAAAGAGACCACAATATGTTAAAGAAAAACACTAACTGAAGAATTTCGTTGAACAGATAGCTCATGAGATCTACTATAAACTATTTGCACAGGGAGTAGTTATAAGTAAAAATCATCCTCAAAATCTACAATGTAATATTCTTGAGTGAGAAACATCAAGCATCCCTTCTATTCAATACTGAGGCTGAGAAAGGTTAAAGAAATTATCCAATCTCATATACCTAAAAATAACAACTAAGAATAAAAGTTGTCAATTTTCATGGTTGAACATATTATCCTAAATGACAAGAGCTAGCCACATTCAATGGCAGTTTCCAGGATATGAAAGCTAGGTATGAAAAATACACAAACAACTAATCAACTAGATCTGTGGTGGTGAACTTAGGGCACATGTGTTACTGTATTTTGCTTTTAAAATAAAAGATGCCAATGTATGAGTTTTGTGTTTTTTTAAGACTTAAAACCTCAGTATTCAGGTTTAACTGCAGTGTTAGCACTTCATGATAAGTGGGTTTTGGGTTGCAGTTTGGACACTTAGTCTGTAAAAGGTTCACCATCACTGAACTAAATCAAACACTCAGAAACTAAGCCTCACCTGCATGTGAGTAGGATATGAGCTACCAGGAGCCTGAGCAGAAGAAGGTGCAGGTGGTGAAGAAGCAGTAGCAGCAGCGGGGGCGGCAGTTGGTGCTGGGGCTGTTTGTGGGGTGGGTGCTGCAGTAGAATCCAATGTATAGTTTTTAAAAGCCTCAATATCCTCAAGCCTAAAAAAGGAAAGAATCCACAAATGTAAAGGTATTTAAAAAGCAGATTCAGTTATCACAGATGTCTCCAAAAGTCCTAACTTCTAATTTCTCAAAAAAAAAAAATTTTTTTTAGAGACAGAGTTTCACCATGTAGTTCAGGCTGGACTTTGAACTCACTACGTAGCCCATGCTCACCTCAAACTTGCAGTGATCCTCCTGTCTCAGCCTCCCAAATGCTGGGATTTCAGGTGTGCGCGGCTCTCAATTCTTTATTAAAATACTCTGATAACCACTGAACTTCCACAAATAACAAAGATTCTACTTACTTTCCAACTGTGATACAAATGATGGCTCCAACTGGAACATCTCTGGTACCTTCAGCAACAAGTATCTTTGCCATATAACACTCCTCTAGGCTCTCAAATCCAACTGTGGCTTTATCAGTTTCAACCTTTTAACACAAAGTAGTAGTGTAGGTTTGCGTTGCCAGTATGCAGTTTACTAGCATGTGCCTAACAATCATACAGCTCATAACTATGTGAAGATAAAAACACTACCACAGATTTGAAAGGAGTTATTAAAAAAAAAAATCTTGGGTAAAAAGCTGTTTGGCCAACTTATCTAACAAATCATCTCTAATATCAAACTGTGAAAACATCTGTTTAAACAAAGAGAATAACTAGCCAATTAGAAAGTCCCATCTGCCAAAAAAAAAAAAAAAAAAAGTCCCGTCTGTTCAGCAAAGCCAGCCCTTAGAACACATCTCCACAAGTTAAAACTCACCTCTGCAATTAGATCACCCTCACTGATTTTTTCCCCTTCTTTTTTTTCCCAACGGGCTATGGTGCCTGCCTGCATTGTGGGGGAAAGAGAAGGTAACGGTACCTGGAAGACAAAAGGGAAAAGCATTAAATTTATTTAAAAGGTCTACTTAACTCAGCCTGGTTTAAAGTTTCATTCAATTCAATACGATGCCGTTTACTGAGTTCCCTTACACACCAGGCACCGGGGATACAAAGGGAGCTGCTGCCCAGCAGTTCAGGATTTCCAGTGGCATACTTCCTTCTCCACAGTGCCGTGAGTTTGACAAAATACGAACCTCAGCAGGCGTTCTGCACACACCCCAGGTTGGAGCTCTTCTTTCAATGGAATAGATAGCGAAAGGAAAGGAAGCTCACGAACTGCAGCAAAGCTAGGCACTGGACAGGGGCGATGAGAGATACTGGAAGGAGTTGGAAGATCACTGAGACCTCTGAAGGCGAATTCCCAAGGCCAAGTCCGCCCTGAAGGACAACCGAATCCCGGGGTGGAGGGCTCACCTTCTGATGCGGAGGCAGACTGTAACAGCGGCGGCCGGGCGATCCCCAAAGCTGCAGCAGTAAGCGGTTCCGTGGAGGGGCACCAGAGCTGGGGCTCCAGCCACAAAGAGCCCGGACCCGGCCATAGCTTGGGGTGGTCGTGCTTTTGGAACGAGCCGGGGCGCGGTTGGGCCGCAGGCTCACACACGGACCTCCGGGTCCCTCTCGAAAGGCCATCCACCGAGCTCTGAGTCCTGCCCCCGGGGCTGCACGCTGGCCCCGTAGCGCACAGACCCGCCACATAGTGCCACTGAGTCCCACTCCCCTAAACCTCCACCGTCTCCGGGGTGACCTCTCCAAGACCAGCGCGGCTCTGCCGTCAGCCGCTCCGCGCAGCCGCACTTTGTCGTAAAACCGGCGCCGAGGACTCACGCCACCTCCCCGTGGTCAAGGAGCGCTTGGCTTCTAGGCTCTGCCTCGGCCGAGAGTCAGGTCACAGAAGCACAGAAGCGGCCCCGAAGCGGATTGGGCCCGCTGCTAGAAGCCCTGAGGGAAGGGGCGTTCCAGCGCAGCTGGCGCAGACGCCAAGTTTGGGAGATGTGAGGCAGGGAGTTGGGTGGAGGATGGTCCTTGAAGAGGCATCCTGCAGGTTAGGATGGCGCCTAAGAGTCGTGAGAGACGTAGCCGAAAGGCAGGGACCTAAAACAGAGGAGAGAGCCGGGCTAATAGATATTATGGTCTGAAGTTGCGCCGAAGGGAGTGGCCTTGTTTTGAGAAAAAGCTTGGAAATAAGCCCAAAGACAAACCGACCGGACAACGGGAGCCTTCGGCCTAGGGGCGCCTTCGGCCAAGGGGGCGGCGCCCCAGAAAAAGAAGCAAGGAACTGCCAGCGGGTGATCGGAGGGTTCCGGTAAAGGGCGCTGCAGATCTGAAAGTAACCGGGTTTGGTTTCCTGCGCGAACTGTCCTAGGATACAAAGATTCGTTTCAAGTGTGCAGCTCCACCGGGAAGGGGAGTAACAGGTTTTCCATTCAGATAATGTGAAGGGCAGCCAAAAGGAAGGTACATCCCCACATTCAGATGTACTGTAGCAGGAGTAAGTGTATTCTGTGTATTAAGATACACATTTCCAAAACGGTTTGCTCCTCCCTCGTTCTCCTAGAATAATCCCTTTAAACAGCCATTTTTTGAAAGATACAGTACTGTCACGAGAAATGTACTGTTACGCTACTTTTTATTTGACCATCAGGGTGCACTTTAACACAAACTAGGGTGGTTAGATGTCACTAGGTCACATAATCTTATGAAACCACCATCTTATATTCGGTAGGTCATTATCAGAACATCATTGTTGGGGGCCATGACCATTTTTTTTTTTTTTTTTAATGTGAGACAGTTTCTTGCTATGTAGTTGGGGGTGGTTTTAAACTATGTATCCCAGGCTGGCCTGGAACTCCTAGCAATTCTGCTGCCCCAGCCTCCGGAGTGCTGAGATACAGGTGTGCACCACCATGCCCGGCTGTTCATGACTGTATGTCTGTACCAAAACTGAACAATAAGCCAGTGGAGGCAGGAAATCACTTTGCACTATTTTTCGATGTCTCTGGAGTTTAGTACAAATAGTAACAGAATACATGTCTTTTGAATTAATCAACAAAAATTTATACAATGTGTCCAGTACACTTCTGTACGGTTATCATCTTAGAAAATATTATTTCTGAGCTGAAGGTGACATTGGATTAGGAAGTATATGCTGCTTTTACACAATCAAGTATCCAGTGTACAGATGGCCAGAGCACCAAGAACAGAAGAAAAAGAAGAGGAGGAGAACCTAACATTTGAAAACATTCACCCTTGCTAATAATTAACTTGGAAAATTAAAACAGCCAGGAGATACTACCAAGTTCATACCTAATTAAATTGGAAATGTTCAAGCAGGCAACACTAACAATAATAACAATTATAACAATTACTAACAATAGTAGACAGTATAATCAAGAAATATAAAATTTACAGATTAAATGAAAAAAGCATTTAAATTAAAGAGAAGCAATTCTGTAGAACTTTACATGAGTAACAATTGGAAGAAGCAATGAAATGTGCTTAGTAAAAGGGCTTACACTAACTTTCATAAGTGATTATAAAAATATTTTAACTATTTTGAATTGACTAAAATCTTTTTTTTAATCCTAATACAGTCATTTATTTGGGTACTGGTTGTTCTTGACTAAAATCTTAACACAGTATTTCCACTGCATTTGAATTCAACAGCTGCATCTCAATTAGCTTTTGTTAGAAATTTTGAGGTGATCTGCATCTGTAGTTTTGCTGTTCACTTGGGTGAGCTTAAACCTTGTTTGGGACTTTTCAAAGAATAGAGAGTTTGCGTTTTGAATGTATTTTTTTCTTTTTCTTTTGGTATGGGAGGATTGAACTTGGGACCTTGTGCTTTTGAATGTATTTTTGACTTAGGTGTAACTACATTATAAGGCACAGCCCAAATAGACCAAGGGTGGCAAGCTGACCCTGGAGACAGGCTAGAATTCTTAGGTCTGTGAAATAAGTCCTGAGAGAACAAATTATGAAGTCTCTCCTAAATATATTGGATAAAGGAAGTAAAGGAAAAGCAGGATTTAAGACTTGAAAGTTTAAAGTAGAAGGATGATATCACTGATGTAAGGTTGGTAGATGCAAAGAGAAATTAGCTGGTAGTGAAAGATTTTGAGTTTTGTGCATATTTTTTTGTGTGTATGCATATTTAACATAATGGTGGAATAGCCTAATTAATAGTTGAAAATATGTAATCAGGAGCCAAATGAATGTACTTAGGGATAGATTTGGAGATATATCTAGATATAGATATAGATATATCACTTAAATTGAAGCCTACATGAATTTTGGAAAGGCAACTTTCAAATTTTCAAAAAATTGATTTGGGAATTCTGATTCTTTTAAATACTCATTTCTGGCCTAGAGTGATGGCCCATGCCTGAGTCTCAGCTATTTGGGAGGCTGAAGCACCAGAATCATTTGAGGCCACCAATTCAAAGACCAGCCTGAGCAGTGTAGTGAGACTTCATCTCATAAATAAATAAATACACACTGTGGTTGCTGGGCATAGCTTAGTGGTACAACTCTGTTCAGCATGCGTAGAGCCTCAGTTCACAGCAAAACACCCGCACACACACGTGCACATGCACGTACTTCTGTGAGAGTCTCTTAATGTTTGCATTTACAAATTAGAGACTTGTCATACAGTTTACACTCTCAGGTTCTTGTTTGCACATTTGTATGTAATTTCAAAAGAAGAGCAATATTTGTTAATCCCCATTGCTAGTAATAACCTATTTTGTGCTTACATTAGAAATACCAATAGTAAAACATCTGTAGCAATAAAGCAACCCATATCTCCATTCTCCAGACAATAAGTAAACATGATACCTAGGAGATCACTTAAGGAAATTTACCTTCACTAAATGTAAATGGCTTTATTGGTTAATTTCAGTCAATAAACAAAACGATTAATGGGATTTAGTTTGCAGACTCCCTTTTATTCATAATTTGTGTGGTTTTTTTAAATTCACAAATCTGGTACAGGCAGTTAAAACTGGTTATCACTTTGATAATCAGAAGCTTCTGGTATAACAGTCTTCATGAAAACATACTGTAAAACAAGAATACACAGTAATCTCTTTGAAAGCAATGGTTGCAAATATCCATGTTTCTAAGAAAATATAACTTTACATATATATGTATTTTAAACAAGCTATACCTCTTACATAAATTCAGACAATAGGAGTGTGCAATCATAATATTTTATGGGAAAAATAATTTTAATTATGATCTAAATGCTTTTAAGTAATTAGAGTCCTCTTAGATTAGATGTAGACCATAAAGACATTTCCCCCTAATTTACAACAGATCAAAAAGAGATGAAAAAATGGTAAGTAGGACTGCCATTACCAAGTGTATTTTTCTTTTTTGGGGGGGAACCAGGGATCGAACTCCAGACCTTGCACTTGTGAGACAGGCGGTGGAACCGCTGAGCTTAATCCCCAGCCCATTACCAAGTGTATTTAACCAAAATCTTTAGGTACAAATTGGAATTGTGTCCCAATCCCACATAATTTAGAGAAATGAGCAAGAACAGTCTAAAGTTAAGAAATTAAGCTCTCAACTAAACAAATATTTTGAGAAAGTCATTTGCTTTAACATGGTTTAGAGATTATTTTATGAACCCTAAATCTTCTAGTTCTCTAGATTTCTAAAGGGAAAAAAACTTCAAAAGTACCAGGGTGGAATATCTCACTTGAGTTCCTCTAAGGGATAATAGTATGAATAAATCTCAAGGCCTTTGAGACTGCAGCCAACTAGGAGACTTTTCACAACAATCAATGCCCACTCCTGCTGAGAAGGTTCCTTTTACTTCTGGAATGAAGATCACCAACACAATTTACACAAGAGTTACTTAAGTGACATCATCTAGTAAGGATGATTGGTACCCTTACCTAATCTCATGATAGTACATGAGATTAATGAGGTAACGGGAAAAATTTATCCCATGTTCTCTTCTGAATTCAACTTCTTATGGAGGCACTATGGTGACTCCTTTTCCAAAAGAGTGAGAAAAAACACAAGGAAGAGGACTCTGAAATTTTTATTTGATTTAATATTCTCTGGAAAGTTAAATTTTACCTAATGGTAAGACTGTTCACTGAAAGAAAACTGATGAGTAACTGATTTAAGAGACAGTCAAGAAAAATTTTATGGAAATAACAAATTTTGGCCTGATAACCCTCATGCTGTTGTATAGCAAAACACTAAAATTCATGCAACAGAGAAACTGGTGATATAAAGAATTTTTTCTCCAGATTTCTTGGGAAAAAAGAAAAACCCAAAATTCATTGTTTTCTATTTGCTTTCATAATGTATTATTCTTGCTTATGGCTGACTTTCCCACGTTTTCCCAGCTGTTCTGATGATAAATTATTCTTCAATAGAAGACCAAGTAAACTTACACAAAAGAAATCAGATGTCTTTTGAACTTCTTCAGTCTTCTTGAAGAGCAATCAACTGGATTACATAAAACTACTCCCACAACTAAAATAGGTAGAATTGGACAGAAATTAGTTGTCATTAGTATACTTGTAATAAAATAAAACTTGTTCCGAAACCACAAGAGTTGTTAAGAGACTGTATAAAACATACTGGGTTCTCTAGAAAATGGACACAGTATAGAGAATGTTGAGAGTATATAGAACTCACACTTGAGTTATAAAAATAGACATGGTTCTCAGACAAAAAGCAAATGAGTATAAAATAATTCTCCAAACATTAAGTATTTTTAAAAGACATGTCCATATAAAACAATAAGATGTTATCTCAGTTCCAAAGAGTAGTCTGTTCAGTGTCTGAAGAGAGAGGAGATGAACTGAAGACATAGGTCAAGAACATAAAACTGATCTGTCCTCTCTTCTGTTTGGCAGTGTACGCTGGTGGTCACAGACTGCTTTTGGACCAAAAAAAAAAAAAAATATATATATATATATATATATATATACACACACACATATACATATATATATATATGTATATAAAATGGCTGATTAGTTGGTAGTGCTGGGTGGATGAATGAGAAAACCCAGGTTATTAAGTAGTCTCTAGAAGTTGAACACTTTTAGCTTCTACACTTGACGGTGTTCCACATGAGAAATGATTCTAGGTTTCTTTCCCCTCAATCAACCCTGCCATTCACAACTCATGCTCCATGCCCCATGGTTTCTAGGGTTTTTTGTTTTGTTTTGTTTTTGTTACCAGGGATTGAACTCGGGATCTTGTGCTTGCAAGGCAGGCGGCAGAACCACTGAGCTAAATCCCCAGCCCCCCATGGTTTCAATTGTGCCCTAAAACATCAGCCTAGACTAAATATGTAATAGAAAGTAACTCTAATCTTAAAATGAGAAGCAGACCAGTAATTCATGCTCAGTACTCATAAATCACAATGAAACACTGAAACTAATGGTCTGTCTCCTTTTAACTGCAAAGGAGATACCATGAGTTAAAGTCATGAGACAAAGTCAAGAAGATATGGGTAGCAGCACCTTTCCATACCCGCCTGGATTTTTAAGGAATATTTCACTCCTAATTCCTTTCAAACACAAAGGTCATCAGTTCGAAGAAAAATAAATGGCTCTAATGTTAAAGAGTCCCAGAGAAAACTAGTAGTATATGAAATATACTTTATGTGGGCCAAAGGACAAGCTGCAGAATCAAGACCAGAAGAAGTGGCCCAAGGTCTTATGGTTTTAGCACAGTACAGCACAATATGGGCAGCCCTTTTTCCATCCAATCAACAATTCAGCATCATCCATGTCCAGTTCAAACGATCATTGAACAGTAGCTTTCATCTTTGGTACCACCTCATGAGTTATTCTTAGTTTCCAGTATCTGCAAAGAAGCAGAAAAGTTGGTACCTTTGCCTTGTCTGTGAGTCCAAATGCTGGGACTCTGATTGGTGCAAACATTGAGGCCAATTAAATTAATACTGTAACACACAGGAGTGATGCATCCAATTCCCAGGTTCCAGATAATAGCAGCCATGCCCCCACAGGAGCGGGATCATTCATCCCCATTGGTTAAGGCCTTCGGTTTGTTGTCCTCAGAGTGGAACAAAACACCTTTCCTGTGGCAAGGAATTCCAGATGAACCCATGGTCTACATTTGGATAAGGATTTTAAGTACCAGATATGCCAGGCACAGAATCAGGACTGGCCTGTGACCTTCACACTTGGAGAAGCTCTGATACTGGTAGCACAATTTAGAAACTTCTTAGTGCACTCTGGTTTTAGTCCCCTTTCCTGAGTGAAGCAGCCAGAGAATAATTAGATTTCAATCCTCAGGGTTAATTCTCTCCATGATCTTCTTCCACCCAGGCTACAATTTTTCCTTCCCATCCAGGGATGGCATCATCATCATGGAAAACCTGGGTGAACAAAGAAACAAAGCCACAGTGAAGAATGAGAGATAAACATAGGGAGTTTCACTAAACAACTACTGCTGACAAAAATAAGGCCTCACACATTAAGGACAAGAAAGTGTTGAAAAAACCCTTGGGTTACAATCTATGTCCCTTCGGTTTTGTCCCTAAAGTTCCAAATAGTATTTTATATATTTCTTAGTCCAACATTTATAAAATAAGGGTTTTTTAAAAATCCCTAACACTGCTTTGCTTATGAAGATTTTTAATTAAAAAATTATGAATCACAGAGTATTTTGGGTTTCTTAGGAGAAAGCAGTAGTATACACATTTTAAAAATGAGAAAGGTGCTAGGGCTGGGGATTTAGCTCAGTAGCACCGTGCCTGCCTGGCAAGTGCAAGGAAAGGGGAAATTTCTGGTTCCTGGTACTGTAAAGAAAGGGTTGGAAAGAAGACCTATCTCTCAAATGCAATTCTTTTAATTCACTCATTCATTTCCTACATCACTAATATGACAGGGTCATTAAAACATTAGTTTTTCTAACTTTTTCCACTCTATAGCCATAATGAAGGCACATACAATCAGAACCCATAACTCTCTTCCAAAATTTTTTTAAAAATCTGTTATCTGGCAAATGGATTAAAAGAGAAGCATAGGCCAAGAAAATACACAAGGAGTTGGAAATAAGCATAGATGACTATCCAGAAGTTCTCTGTTTTCATTATGAGAGACTGCCACCACACCACATAATACACAGTTCCAGATGTTTATGCTTGTTTTGCTCTATGTAGGTTTTCTAGGACTTGGCTCTTCTAAGTTTATTTTATTGTCTTAGGTTTTTTATTTTCCCTAACAAAACTATTTCCTGGTTAAAATATAAATTCTACCCAATTTCTTAGTAAAAATAATTAAGTCCTAGAATTGAGGAAGCTCTCAACATCTTGGGCCACTTTGACCTTTTTAGTCTAATTAGAGCATAGTCAGAGACTCCAGCAAACTCCTCAGACCTGACTAGGGAACTCAGGTACTTCCAGATACTAGTCCTTGAATCGGAGACTTTGGGGTTTAGGAATAAAGGACAATACTACCCAGGCTCCCAATGGGTCCTGTACCTCCTCTTTGACAGTGCCAAACTCAGGATCCAGCGCTTTGAAGTGATATCGATGATTCCCTTCCCGATCAATAGCTGCTTTAAAATCCTTCAATGTCACCTCCCCCAACCTGCCACGAAAAGAGAGATTACCAAAATAGACTTTCAATCAACAGGTCAGAAAAATAGGGTGTTAACTTTAAACCCAGGCCCTGCCAAAGTCAACAGACAGAAATAGCATGACATTATTAAATCAATGACCCTGATAATGAAGATAAAACTAAAATTGCAAAGGTTGGAAAACCAGTCACCACTAGGAAATGAAAATTATGCTACATATTGGGTGATCTAAGAATTTAAAATTTATTGTTTCAGCAGGAGCCAAATCACTTCTCTTTTTCTCTGGAAATACTGTATGAGGTTTCTGAAATCAAGTTTGTTGAACAATCATAAATAATGTGCAATCTCTCTTGATTTCCTTCTTCACTAAATAGTACAGTTCTCTCAGGCAGGTATCATTTTTACCTCCCATCTTTTTTTTTTTGGACCGGGGATCGAACTGGGGTCCTTGGGCTTGCAAGGCAGGCATCAGTGCCTGGCCCTTTATCTCCCATCTTTAAGAAGCTGTCTAACCCAGACCAAATAAGTAGACATAGGATAAGGAAATCCTATAAATTCTCTCAGTAGCTGATTCCAGAGTTTAAACAACTTTATTTCAAAACCATTTCCCTTAGAAGAAATTACATTAACAATCTGGGGAAAAGTTTTCAAACATAAATTCTCAGTAGGGATCATTTGCAGTCATCAAACAGTAACAAAGATCAATTAGTAAAAAGCCTGGGAGTTCAAGCTGTAATTCATGGCCATCAGCAGGACCTGTAACACTTAAAAAACTATTTTTCCAAACTTGGAGCATATTTCCATAGTTATGAGAAACACTATTATTGCTTCCATACTTAGCTGTTTCTGTATTTAGATCATTTATAATGTCACTGGTTAGTGGTAAAGCTGGAACTAGAATCTCATATCTCCTGGGCTTTTTGTACTACATATACTCCTTTTCAAAGATTTCTCAGCTGCTCATTTGGGCAGGAACTAATGTCCTGCCTTCCTTTCCTTATTGCAAAGAAATAATGATCCCAGCATCTCACCTCTTTGGTATATTGACCATGAAGGGCGTAAGTGACCGGTCAGTGAAATAGAGCACTTTAGTGCAGGCGCTGCTGACAGCTGGAGAACTCTGTGAGTGAGGCAGTTCTGCAATCAGAAAGTCTCTATGGTTAGAAAGTTGGATTTACATTGTACCACTCGTCATTTCCAATTATTCAAAAGCGTCTCGCCAGGGATTTAGCCCAGTGGTTTCGTCACCTACCTCACAACCGCAAGGACCTGAGTTCGATCCCTGGTACCAAAAAAAAAAAGTGTCTCAGGAGAATGAAGCCACCTGAGGTCACAGCAGCCAACATCATGTCCATAGGGCATGACCCACAGAAGTCACCACCAAATCCACATAGACAAGAGGTGCTTTGGGCATGGACATTATCAGGACCATGATTTCTCACTGATTCCAGGTATTTCTGTCAGGGAACAGCAACTGATCCGATCGGTATTGTTGCTAAAGATCAAAAGAGGACAGACAAACCTGGCAAGATATCAGCTAGGGCAGTATAGACAAACAACAGGACCTATGTTTCTGCTTGCATTTGGGGGTTAGTGGTAGAGAATACTCGTGTGATTCATGGAAAGAGAAAGTAACTGGAACACAAAATACAGGGGCAAAGGAACTTTAGAAATTCAGATCCCCGCCTATCTTTCTAGTTTAAAAAACACAAGATCTACCTTAACTCTTAGCTGCAAAGGATCTGCGTATTTTGGCCCTGTAACATTCCTAATTTAACTCAGGTTCCCAATTTGTCCCTGTCCTTTAAAAAGGTACTTTAGTAAAAGTGTAATTAATTAATGAGAACTTATAATTAAGCGAATAGAAAAGACCAAACAGAAACTTTATCATAAGGACCAAAAACCAATAATTAAGCTTTTCTTAAAGACTCCTGCAAGTCCATTTACACATATTTTCTTAATTTCTAGGTTTGGGTTTCTCATCAAATTGGCAGGCCAAAGATAGCACTTCTGGGAGGAGGTTAAAAATAAGGAAACATATAAGGGACAGACCTGGGAGAAAGACAAGCAAAATTTCCCTTTGCACAGCAATCAAATTCAATCAGTTTCAGTTTTTCTTCCAAAGAATGTCAATTATCATAACATACATGCTATGATTTTCCTTTGCCCTAGCATCTTTCATAGTGCCAGGTACTTAGTGGTTGTTGAATAAATAAAATACTCACTTTCTACATTAAGTAATATTGGAATTTTTTTTTTGGTACTGGAGATCGAACTCAGGACCTTATGCGTCCCAGGCAGGCAGAGCACCACTGAGCTAAATCCCTGGCCCTGCATTCAGTCATATAACTGATTTATTCAATAAACAGTAACTGAGCACCTACATGCTGCTAGATTTTGAGAATATAAAAACACTGTATGTGGTCTCTGATATCCAAGAGTTTATAATCCCATATGGATGGGAGGCACAACTGCAAATGGTAATAATACACTAAAATCAGATTGGTACACTTAATGGGAAGATTGAAGATAGAGAGATTAATTCCAACTGGAAAAGATCAGAAAGGCCCCAGAGGCAGAAAATCCTTTTAGAATGTACCTTTAAAAATCCTAAGAGGGCCGGGGATTTAGGTCAGTGGTTCCACTGCCTGCCTCAAAAGAGCAAGGTCCTAAGTTCGATCCCCAGTACAAAAAAAAATCCTAAGAGGGAGGCTGGGGATTTAGCTCAGTGGTTCTGGTGCCTGCCTCAAAAGCGCAAGGTCCCGAGTTCGATCCCCAGTACCAAAAAAAAAAAATCCTAAGATTGAGCTGGGGATATATCAGTGGTAGAGTGCTTATCTAGCATGTGCAAGCCCTGGATTTGATCCCCAGCACCACACACACACACACACACACACACACTCACACACGAGTGAAAAGTTGCAAAGGGCGTTCTGAGAAAAGGGAAAAACATGAGCAAAAAAAATGAAATGTGATAATATATTTAGAAAACCATAAGTAAACTAGTAAAGCTGGAGCATAAAGAATACATCAGGAAGTTATGGGGTAATAAAATAGAGAGGGGCAAGATCACAAAAAACTCAGGTTAATAGGCTAAGACTTGAAGATATTAGTCTTGAACTATGGGGAGATACTAAAAGGTAGTGATATAATCAAACTGGCCTTTTATTTGTTCATTTGTCTCCTGGTACTGGGGATTGAGCCCTTGAACCCAGGGAGCACTAAGCTACATCTTCAGTCCTTTGTCAGTTTTTTAAATTTTGAGCTAGGCTAGCCTATAACTTGCATCCTCCTGCCTTATCCTCCTCAGTAGCTGAGATTTCAGGCATGTACAACCATGCCCAAATGGACTGGCATTTTATAAAGGTTAATCTAGCGGCAAAATATGGATTGTATGGGAGAAACTCCAATTAAAGCCGTGGATTTAGCTCAGTGGTTCCGCCGCTGCCTGCTTCACAAATGCCAAGAACCGAGTTTGATCCCCGGTACCAAAAAAAAAGAGGCAAAACAAACTGAGAGATGAGGAAGGGCAAGGTGTAGCCCTGGAATCAAAGGACTGGATCTGAAAAATCTTTAGAGTAAAAGCCTTGAGACTATAGTTGGACAATAGAGGATAAAAGGAAAAACTAAAATCGGACTTGATATTTATAGTCTAAAAAGACAGATACTTGATAACATTTATTACCTAAGACAAGGGAACAGAGGTGAATTGTGCCATCTATTTATTCATTTAAAATATCTGAATGAAAAATAAAAGCAAGGTGTGGTGGCATATGGCTGTAATTTGAGTACTCTTGGAGGGGCTGAGACAGGAGAATTTCGAGTTCCAGCCCACCTGGGGCAACTGGGCAGCTTAGTGACTGTGCCAGAACATGTCCAAATTAAAGGGGGGAAGAGCTGGGGATTTAGCTCAGCGGTTTCAGCGCCTGTCTCACAAGTACAAGGTCCCGAGTTCGATCCCCAGTGCCAATAAAAAAAAAAATGATGTGGCTCAAATTAAAGGTGGGGGCTATGCTGGGGATGTAGCTCAGTGCAAGGGCCCTGGGTTCAATCCCAGTACTGCACAAAAATATATAAATCAAATAAAGTTTATTTGGTACCTATGATATATCAAGAATTACAGATAAACAAATAGATATAGTCCCCACCCTGAAGCAGTTCAAGTTCTAGTGAAGTGAGATAGAAAAAGTTACAATAAAATGAAATACATAGGAAAGTAATGTTGTTATGATCTGAATTGTACCCCCCAACACATCATGTGATTGTATCAGAGAAGCAGGTGATTAAGGTTAAGTGAGGTCATAAGGGTAGAGCCCTGATCCGATAAAAATGCTTCCCTCCAAAGAAGAGACACCAGGCATGGTGGTGCACGTCCATAATCTCAGCATCCTGGGAGAGGCTAAGGTTGTAGGACCCCAAGTTCTAGGCCAGAGTAGGCAACTTAGTTGGACTGTCTCAAAATAAAAAATAAAAGGGCCAGGTATTTAACTCAGTGGTTCTGCCACCTGTCTCTCA